TTGCTTACGTTCCCGGGTATGTCGTCTGTACACGATTTAGAACGAGTCCATTCATAAATTGCAATAATCAAAGTATATTACAGTTGATATTGCTCATAAAAATCATTTATTTATCATCCAAATTTACATACTTTAAAATAATACGTTTGAAAATGCTCTAAATACTATCTAATTATTTCAACAAAAATTATAGAACATCTATTCAAAAAAATCATAAACTTTACAGTGTATTGAATAATAATTTAAAAATGTCACGTTAATAAAATGTTTGTTTGATGTACATCTTTATTCAGTTGAAACTCAACCATTAATATAAACTGACACATTGAGAATAAAAAATAGTTTACAACATACGGAAAATAAATTTAATCGAACCAAGTCCCCACCAAGTGCCCGGGAAGTACCCGCCAAGTGCCCGGAAAGTACCCGCCAAGTACCCGGCAAGTGCCAGAGAAGTACGCGCCAAGTGCCCGTGAAGTACACGCCAAGTACCCGGCAATTGTCCGGGAAGTACCCGAGGAAGTGCCCAGGAAGTACCCGCCAAGTGCCTTTAACGTTTACAGTAAAGATCTGCGTACCATCCAATCCTTTATGAATAATAGTATTTTGTAAGGTTTCTACAAAATAAATTTAAACAGTACTATATTAAAGTGTAAGTTATTGTGACAAACTATCCTAACTATACAACTTTTTTAAGTAGAATGATTTCTGTACGTGATTTTGTGGAAAGCCATAGTGCAGTACATAAAATTTAGTTGTAAGAAAGTGGTGCATGCTTAGCCCCTACGTAGTTAACACGAAAGCTGCAAGTGAACGTAGTTATGTTTTTGTAAATATGTTTTAAAAGTGTGGTTAATGATTTTCAAGCATTTTTGGATCAGTAACCCTGAAGTTAATGTTTTAAGTTTGAGTTTTATGTCTTAAAAATCTTAGAGTGCTTTTTGTACAACAATAATTATAGAAATGAGAACAACAACAATTGTTAAGTAATATACTGATTATACGGGAGATATACACAAATACATATTTTCGTGCAACTTCTTCCTATCAAACCGTATAGTCACACTCAAATCACCCAAGTTATACATTCTCGTCTTTACATCAACTGTCTACAAAATCAAACCACAAAAAACTCTCTCGTTGATTTAGTATTGCTGCATTTTTTTCAATTAATGTCCAACTGCTACTAATATGCGGTTATTAGCGAAGATGAATAATTTCTCTATAAGTATATCTCGTTGCGTATATATTCTTGTTGGCATTTAAGTTGAATTTATTGGGATTTGAAGCTCGTGCCGTCAGGGCCGCCCTATCGCGTACGACAGAAAAGGTCATTATATAATTTTTTTTGAATGGTTAACTGCCCATTGTAACTAGGAGAAGCCTCTCCTTCTTTTGCGATGGCTAGACCGCTGGTTCGTTGGCTCGTGCGGATCGCCTCTCTCATGTCTCTTGCCTTGAAGCCCTCGAACAGCAAAGATCATTTAAGTAAAACGTTCTGAATTGCTGCACAAGAA